AACCTGGAAGGTCAACTGAGGAATGCAGAAGGTACTGGCTCTCATGTTACCTGGTGTGAGAGTGAGATGTGCTATGACACTGGACAGGGACACCTGGCACTGGGCGCTCCTCACACACCCACCATGTGGCTCATTTCCTTGTGAGAATGGCCACTCTCTGTTGGACTAGTGTGCTAGTAATGTTGGGAGGTAGAGTTTTTTAATATTTTTTTTTTCAATAACCAGATCATTTAAAAGAGTAAAGTGAAGGAACCGTAGAAGGCAAATAAGTCACTATTTATAAACTTCCCCCTTGGTGGGAGGCAATATCAGCCCTTCCCACAAGGAGATTATCAGCACATATCATGGGATGAGTGGAATATGCACAGAATAACCAGACACTGGCAGCAGACATATTTATTAGGTTCCCTGGCACAGCGAGGGAACTCTTCTTAGAAGCCTTAGGAAGGTATAGCAGAGTACTAGCCAGGTGCATCTGGTGGTGAGGTGCACTTGACCAGTGGCAGAGCTGGACACCAGAGAACACAAGCCATATTTACCTTGGAGACACAAAATACCAGCTTTGCCAGGAGAACAGACTAATAAAGAGGAGCAGTAGTTTCCTTCTTCTTTCTAAACATGTAAAGTCTGGCTGTTATTTTCATTTCATTAATTTTCAGAGGCTTTTCTATTTCTGGATGGTTGTGAGGGCCATCAAGGCCTGTGATCTTGGGGATGGTGTTCTTTGCTAGGAGAAGTGTGTGGGTGGTCTCTGCTGGGTTTCCAGGGCCATGCAAGGTTCTCATGAAACTGTCTTCAGAGGGCTGTGCTGTATGGAGTTCAAGTCTGGGGCTCTGCAGCACAGCTCTGCAGGCCTGTGTGGTCTGCTCGCTGATGTCTCGGGTCACCAAGTCTTCTGCTGAGACACAGCGTGTTGGTGGCTAGACTCTGGCTCTACTGTCTGTTGATCTGTGCAACACCGATTCCCCCCTGACTGGCACTGTTAGGTGTGGGTCACAGAAAGAAGAACGCTGTGGTGTTCTGACCTTGAGACACTGCCATTTTGGTGGAGGAGAAATAAAGAGGGCTCCGGGAATGCTAGGAGAATGCTGACTCCTGCTTGTCACCGGGAGCAGCAGCAGCAGCGTTGTCTCTGGAGCTCTCTGGAGACTGACGTTTCCCATGTCTGCCAAGCTTACCCCACAACACTGGGCAAAAGGGTCCCAGAAGAAGGTTGTAGCCATTGTGACAAGACTGGTTCATGGGTGAACCAGGTTCTAAACTCAGCTGTGATTCCGGGTTCTTGCTCCCTATGTGGTATTCTCAGGGCCTACTTCCTTTGTCTCCATCTATCCCTGAGTGGTCTTTGTAAACCATGGTTTGTGATTAGCCTAAGCCACCTGGGTGCATGTCAGCCTTAGTGTCTGGGGTGCTGTCCTTGGGCTGATCAGCAACCAAGCAGGCCTTTGAAGACAAAACATTCACAGTAGACTCACGGGAGATTCAGGCCAGTTTCTGCAGCCCACTATTCCTTGGCAGAAAGCTCCCAGTGGAGTGGAAGTGCCCTGGCCAATTGGCAGATTGTCTCCTCAACTCTCTGAAAGAGTTGGAAGCCACAAAGGAAAAGTGTAATGCCTGGAACATTCTGTGGCTCCTCTCTGCTCTCCACTGCTCTCCATAGTCCTTGCTTCTGTCCTAAAGTTCCTTTGTTCCCCCAGGCCCAATTTTTTCTCTCCCAAGCCTTCCCTGACACTAGGAGACACTGACCCCTAGTGTCCTGGTGTGTTCTTTGTTGCTGTGGTAAACGCCATGACCGAAAGAGAAAGGGATTTATTTATTTCGTTTTGCAGGTCACACTCCCTCTTTGAGGGAACCCTGGCAGGGTAAGAACTTGAAGCAGAAACGTTGGAGAGAGGCTGCAGAATGGCTTGCTCCCTGGCTCATGTTACCTTTCTCATACAGCTTAGGCCCGCCTGTCTAGGGATGTCAACACCTACAGGGGGCTGGGCCTTCCTATATCATTTAGCAATCAAGAAAATCCCTCATAGCTGTGGCCATGGCATTTTGACTGAAGCAATTTTCCAGCTGAGGTTAGCTTTTCCCAAATGACTCCTAGGTTTGTGTCAAGCTGACAATAAAAGCTATGGCATGCCTCTCTGTTGACTCATATGTTGTCAGTTTAGTACATGTACTCTTTGCTCTGTGGAAAGTTTTTGAGGTAACAGAGATGCTTCAAAAATGATTGTTTTTGCTGAGAGCCTGTGTGGGGGGGGTGTGTGTCTTTGTGTGTGCAGTGTATGTGTGTAGTGTGTGTGTGTGGTGTGTATCTTTGTGTGTGTAGTGTATATGTCTGAGCATATGTGTAGTGTGTGTATATATATATGCCTAGTATGTGTGTCTTTGTGTATATATATATATATATATATATATATATATATATATATATATATATATATTGCGTGTATGTGTGTGTGTTGGCTTTTGGAAATAGGGTTTCATTCTCTAGTTAAGGATGATCAGTTATATAGTGACAGGAACTCAGGAACTCGCTGTGTAGCCACAGTGACCTTGAACTCATTATCTTTTTGCCTCAACCACAAAGTTCTTGGATTATAGGCCTGAGTCATCAGAACCAGATTAAGGAGTTCCTTATCGAGGAAGGAAGAGAAGGGGGTCAGACTGAAGGAAAAAAAAAAAAAAAAAAAGGAACTAACCTTGGAGTTGGAGTTAGGCGCACATGCCCTGGGGGCTATATTTGTAGAAAATGGCCTTAGATGGTCTTTAACTCTCGTGATAACACTTCCCACGGTTCTGGTTCCCAAGACTATTTGTTGGTCTAACAGAGGCAAAGTGACTCACAACAGTCTGCTTCTTGGAAGGGATTTAATTAAAGAAAGATGGTAGATATATCAGAAACTTCGTCAGTTCCTGTTCGGTGAGTGTGTATTTGTTGTTATAAAATTTTTTTTCTGATTGTCTGATTTATGTGTGTGCTCATTTTAAGACATCTTTTTGCTATTAGATTGGAAAACAAGGCTTGTGAGTCATGACCCACTTTACATCTGGAAGAGGGCCGTGGCTGGTTTTGATGGATGCAGGAGCAGCCACTCTGTAGTAAACAAATCAATATTCTCATGACATAAGCACATGGTGTATGCTGCTCAGAGATGCCATCCACCGGTCTGCTGAGCTTGCTTTTAGGGAGCGGTCATCCAGACGTGACTCACTGCTTGTGGCTGTAAGCAAGCCTTTGAACAGGGTAGCTGTGAGACTTCCTCCGGGTATACATCTCACACCTGGTTTAACTGTTGTGTTTCCCTTTTAGAGAGAATGAGGCTGTGTCATTATATTGGACTCTGGCCAGTGTTGTCTGAGTCTTCTGAGTTCAGTTGGTTTAAGACATTCCAGGATCCTCCAGAGACCCAATTAGACAGATTTAATTATAGGCAGTAAAGCAATGATCTCGTTGCTAAGGGTTTGAGCTTTTGTATGCCTGGGACTGTAAAAGGCATATCACACAGGCAGACAAATGAGACAACAGCCCCTGCTTCCTTAGCTGCTATATCAAGATTTGTGCTGGGTGGTAGGATAGTCTTCATTTCTTTCTGTTAAATAAAAGCCCAGCAAGGCAGGCATTCTAATTTTATTACCTAAGGAACTAGGGTCCAAATTCATCAAGAATGTGCGCCCATGGCCACAGTGGAGGGACCAAGATTACTGGAGCCTGTTTGACTCCAAAGATCACAGGGGTCTTGTTCTCTCCTCATGTGGGCAAGGCATGCCACTTCCATGCCAGCCACACACAAGCTAAGTGTCACCTCATAGCAGGTCAGTCAGTGGCATAGGTTGGGGTATGGCTGTATTCCTGACAGGAACTGGCGATAGTTCTATTTTTTTCTGGTTACCTGCTCTCTCTTGTGTTGGGTAGGCCTCTAGTGGATCACTCCCATGGGTGACAGTGAGTTTGTTTCTGATAACACCACCATCTTGCCCCTCACACAGAGCTTCAATGCCTCTCTCATCCACAGGGAGATGTAGGTGAGTGATGCTCAGAGCAAGAGTCATTCTCAGAGCCCTGGAAGATGCAGAAAGCTGAGGCTGATGGACAAAGGCACCTGCTTAGAGCAGTAGTTCTCAACCTTCCCAGTGCTGTGACCCTTTAATAAAGTTCCTGGTGTTGTGGTGAATCCCCACCCATAAAACTATTTTTGTTCCTACTTCATCTTCATAGCTGTAACTTTGCTGTTATGAATTGTAATCTGAGTATCTAATATGCTGGAATACCTGATATACAGCCCCACCCCCCACAGGTTGAGAAAACACTGTCTTAGAGCCTAGGGCAATGCTTTGTACATGAAGTCAAGTCTAAGGCTCTTTGAGAAGTTGGCCTTGGCCTTCCTCTCCTCATGCCTCCCTTTTCCTTTATCTTACCATTTTCTTTCCTTTCCTCCCACTTTCCTGGCCCTGTCCTATCTGACAAAAACTGTTTTGTTGAAGACATTCATTCCCTCTGGCCCTTACGGTCTTTCCACCTCTTCTTCTCCAATGATCCCTGAGCCTTGTAAGTAAGGGATATGGTATTGCTCTCCCATTTAGAGCTGAGCACTCTACACTCTCTTTCTCTGTACACATTGGCTAGTTGAAGGACTCGTATTAATCACGCTCTACTGAAGAAAGAAACTTTTCTGGTGATGGCTGAGAGACAGTACCCTATGGGTATGATGATAAGAACTTAGGGAGCAGTTCAATGTGGTGTCCATTTATCAGAATAGTAGCAGTAGGCTTACCTTTAGGGCCTATAACCTAGACAGACACATTTTATATATGCAGTTAACAGTGTCAAGTATGAGTTCCATCTTAATGACCAGACTTTAAATCTATCCAGAAGATGTAACATTCATACCACTATTGCCCCAGTTGGCATATCTTGCCAGGCCAGTAGTTAACGTAGTTAATGTAGCTCTCAGTTAGCTGTTTGCTCAACAAACAGGTATTTATATACTTTTCTGTCTTTCTTTCAGTGCCTGAAACAGTATGTTGAGCTCTTGATCAAAGAAGGACTAGAAACTGCAATTAGCTGTCCGGATGCTGCCTGCCCTAAACAGGGCCACCTTCAGGAGAATGAGGCACGTTCAGAGAGGGGACGAATGGCTTTCTTGTCTGTGAACAGTGGGCTGTGTCTGGCTTATCAGGATGCTGTGGTTTTCTGCGTGGCCTCATGCCATATTATGTTGTAGCCCCCTGCATTTTACAATCCTTATGCATGATCCTTTTTTTTTTTTTCCTTTCAGATTGAGTGTATGGTTGCAGCTGAAATTATGCAAAGATATAAAAAGCTACAGTTTGAAAGAGGTAGGTGGCCTCCTGTGTTAGCCAGCTTTGGATCCTACAGCAGAAGGTGGATAACATTTATGGAGCTTTCTTTCGGGAGACATGAGTGTGCATCCACTGATGGGGGTGAGAAAAAGGTGCAACCAGGATGAGAGCATCAATGTAAATTGCACCTCTGAAATAATGGCGTAGAATCCTCTGAGCTGCTCACAGACTGGCGGCCTGGGCTTGTGACCAATTTGGCAGCAGGAGGACTCGGGAGACACTATTTATATACAGAGACTGGGGATTCTTGCTGCTTTCAGGAGATCCCTGGTCCGCATTATGCTTCAGCCAGGTGGGGTCTAATGGCTTTGGAAACTCTTAGACTCCTCCTACCTTTAAAAGACCCAAAGGCACGGGAGGAAGTCCCGAAGCTCGGTACTGCTGCAGGTACCATTGTAGAGCAGTGATGACCCTTACAGGCTTAGATAGCTGTGCTCCTGAGTAAACTGAGTCTTGCACCTCAGTGAGTATCCCAGGCCTGATACATCATGATCCACTGTGCTCATACCCACGGCCACTGGGTGACTTCCCTGGCTTGTAACTCTAGTAGGAGTCTGGCCATATCTCCAGCTCTGAGGTCCAACTCCTCTTCTTCTGAGCCCTTCATGACCTTCTTATTAGATTCAGTCCTGGTGAAGACAGAGAGGTAAGTGTGTGTAATGGATTCAGAGGAGGATTAACTTCGTTTGATGATTGCCAAACACTGAGACATGCGGATGCCTGGTGAGGGCTTCATCTCTGCTTTCTGAAGTGCTCTGCCATCATAAAATAGTGTCTGAAAGAACCTGCAGACCCCATTTGCTCTGTTGCTAGAGACTCAGGGTCACCCACAAAGAGCAGATCAGAGACAGGGCGGTGCAGGTGGCTCCTGGCTGTAGAGCTCCTGTGAGGGCACCCAGTGAGTGCTCTGATTGACAGTGCAGTAGAAACTGCTGTGACCGCATGCCCTCTCCCAGACACCGTGAACCTGTATCCCTGTATCAGAGGTCTGCTGCCAAGCTGGACGCCAAGGTGATGTGCTTGCATGGAAATGCAAAATGCAGGGCAGGGCTCACAGTGGCTGGGGGCTGTGGATGCTCCAGAAAACTAGGAGAAATGTTGAAGATAATTTTGAAATTACTCAAAATATACTATATATATACTTTTTATGTATACATGTATTTATATATGTACATGTATATGTATGGACGACTTAAAAAATAACCAAGGGAGTGGAGAGATGGCTTCAAAATTTGTTTTCCAGAGTCAGCTTCTTTTAGGTGGCATACATCATCCACACAGGGCAGTTGACCTTAAATATGATATCATGCAGCATTAAAAACAGAATGAAGAGTTATAAAATCAGTTAATTTGCATCTCTGAAAATCCCAAACTCATTTAAACTCATCTTCAGGGGATCTTAAGAGAAACTGGGGCTTGTTTAGATTACAGGGATATGAACATTCTGTGCCATCAAATTTAGTTCAAAAGTGCAGTTGGGTAGATTTTCCTGCCAAATAATTTTAAGCTTTCTTTTTCCTCCCAGTACTTTGGCTTCGTCTAAAAGTTTCGGGCTCTTGACTAAGAAGTGAATCACCTTAACTTAGGTTAGAAAAATACTGAAAAATATCACTAGAAAATATCTTAGCGGCCTCACACTGAGTGATGTTTTAAGAGGGTTTGGACTTAATATAGTAGAAGCACTGGCCAGATGGAATGCTAGAAGTGGGACCTGAGACACAGCTGCGAACTCTAGCCAGTACCTTGGATGAACCTAGAGATGTCGCTTCATTCCTTCAAAATTTAGTCTGTGGAGGGCGCCTTAGGAGGAAACTCATTCAGACGTTTTTCTCATAGTTACAGAGAAGTCTTACAGGAAGTTTACGCTTCAAAAGGCTCTTTTCTTAGCCCCCGTATATCTCAACTGACCTGGAAGCCTGGATTTTCAGTTTAGATTCTTGACCTCTCCCCCCAAAATCTTTGGCCATCTGGAGACCACCGCAGCAGATTTTTAGCTACTGCTTTTGCTTTCTGGTACCTTCTCTCCCGTCTGAGTCTTGGGAGAGATGTACACGGACATACTCTTGTGCATGCCTTCCTTGCAGTCTCTGAGTATGTGCCATGGAGGGCTACACTGGTTCCTTTCCATGCCTTTCTGGAAGGACGTGGTATCTCGACTTGATCCTTTGGTTTATTAAAAGAAGAAAAAAAAAAAAACTCTGAGTGATTAATAACATGGCCAGGTATGTTTGCAGCCCTACCAAGAGTCCTCAGTTTCCATCAGGGATTTACCCACCACCACAGATGAGGACCAGGGCACTAGGGAAATCAGTCAACACAGCAGCAGGAAACAATGGGAGTGGGGTGGGTGCTGGTCCCACAGAATACCTTAGCATACCATCTGTCTTTAAAAAGTAAACCACCTTTGTAAAAGGTGGTCAGACATTTTTCTAATCATGTTCTTGGGACTCCGCTCCACCAAGGATACTGAAGAAGTCTGTGTTAACCCCGGTCTCCTAAAGAGAAATTCTGTATGACTAGGATGCCTCTGGCAGACTGGAGTTATGACTGGATTCTTTTGCTTCCCCAGATACTATAGTTTGCTTCATATAAACATACCCCATGTATATACCTGTGTGTAAATAATATAGTAGCCTGGACAGTGGGTTATTAATAGATGCTGGTGACAGGAAAGCTAAGAGACACATGTGTACTTTCTAAGAGAAACGCATGAGTCCTGTCTTCAGTGGGCCTCATTATTGATTGATCCCTGCCTGTGTGCACAGCTGGAAGAATTGAGTAGTGGGAAGGACAATGAGCATATTTATAGATGTCTGCTAGATGTTGGTGCTGCTACATGGCTGGGTGTGATGGGCCTCAGGGCCAAGACGATGCTTATGTTCTTTTCAGAGACAGATTACTTCCTCTGCCCACGGGGAATCTTTCTGTGGTGATAGGCAGGGCCGTATCATGGCCCTGAATAAACCAGTCTTAGATTTGGAGTTGTTATCCTGGAAACCTTCCCCAGGTCTCTTCGTGCCACAGGAGAATGGAGCCTTCTATGATGAAGGAGCAAAGTAGCCTCTCTTACTGTTGCCCAGGGATGGTAGCACATGTCAGGAAGTATATGAAGGGAAGCCTACCCCAACCACCCCCCCCCACACACACACTGATGTGTGGGGCTTCCAGAGCACAGGGAGGGTCATAGGCAGGATGTAGGGCCTCTAAGGGTCTGAAACAGGAAGACTGCTCCCAGCAATGTTCAACCACAGCATGATTAAACAGAAAGCCTGTGTTAATATTCAGCACGTTGGGTCCCCGTGTCTCCCTCTCCCCAGAACTTCATTCAGCAGCTCAGATAGAGTGTGTCAGATAGGCGGACACTATGCAGATAGGCTGGTCTAGGGCCAGCCTAACTCCCTCAACAAATGCACAAAGACAGGCAGAAAACTGGTAGGTGAAGTTGAAGCTGGCGTGTATAGATGGGTAATGGGTGCTTGCAGAGAGAGCTGTGGGAGCTCCCTGGGGATTTCCTCCAGCACATACCTGAAAACTGTGAGGATTTAGGGAGCTCCTCACAACCCAAGCCTGCAGGGCAACCCTTCTCCATGTGTTCCAGCTCTGTCTCTACAAATATCTACATGTTCAGTGGCCAGAAACTCTCTTCAGATAGCAAACACTGACACCCAAGTTGGACATTAGCAGCTGTTCATTTGATCAGTGTCAGGGGCATCTCAGAGGCTTTACAGTATTGTAATGGAGTCCAGTCTGTGTGGAATGCAGGTTCTCAGTGCTGGAGTTCTGCTGTTGTCACACACACTGTCTCAGGCCCTTGCCCTCATATCAGCAAGATCCCTTTTATGGCTTTTGATGAGCACAACTTAATAAATAAAGCAAGGAGTATTTATTTTGGTTCAAGAGTCAGCCAGTCATGGTTAGTAGCCAACCCATCTCCAACCCCCCAGCTGCTATAATTAAGGTTTCCTCAGAACCTTCATTTATGGGTTGGTTAGTCTGCTCTTAACCCCAACAGCAAACCAAGTAGATGTTATAGAAACCCAAAAATCACATGGTCCATAACGATGTGGATAGTTCCCACCCTGCCCTTTACAGAGGTTGGCCAGCCTCTACACCAGTGGATAAGATCATCACTGAGCTTATACCTGACAGGCTTGCTTCTTCAACACTGACCAATGTGTCGTGTCCCCTATTAATGAAGGAACATGGAACCCACAGAAAGACATGTGTGTATGAGGTTAGGACTCTGCAGCATTAGACCTTGTAACTGAGGGTTTATTTGGCTCACAGTTGGAAGTTACATAAGTCCATAAGTTATGTGAGTAAGGGAAGGCGTGGTGCCAGGAAAGTGAGGTAGCCACTCACATCCATAGTCAAGAAGCTGAAAGTTATAAATATCTGTTCATCGCCTGATTGCTCCTCTTTATTCAATCCAGGACCCCAGTCTGTGGAACTGCACTGCCTACATTTAGAATGAGTCTTCCCACTTCAAATATCTTTATTTAAAAGCCCCCTCATAGACATATCCAGAGGCTTGCATCTTAGGTGATCAAGACTCCTGTTGAGTTGGCAGTCAGTGTCAGTCATCACAGCCCTCTGCACCGGCAGTCTGCCGGGTGTCTGTCTGTCTTTGAATCAGGTGAGCTACAACCATGTCAGGCTACCTGGCATTGGACCAGCAGCTTTGCAAGTAAGCACCGTTTGTACCTTTTCCCAGCAAAATCCACTGCTCCCTGGATTGCTTCTCAAGAACAGCCCAACTGCAAAGCTGAGAGCTAGCAGCCTGTGCAGGCTTTTGGAGATGACCCTGTAATCTGTGGACCTGCCCTGGTCCCTGTCAAAAGGTTAACCTCCTGTTTTTGTCTCCTGCCGCACCTGGTGAAAGTTCGAAGTCCACTAGAGAGGAGGGAATGTGAGATGCCCAGCGGCTCATTGTGGAGGGCAGCTCAGGACGAATTATAAATGCAGGATTTGGATCAGGATGTGAAAGAAGAGGAATGCCACCATATCCTGTTTTTAAACCAAACTTCCTGACCAATCCCATCAGACTTCATCTGCAGGGAAGACAAGCTAGTAGTTTTACCCAGAAGTTAGGGGCTCAGGCTTGGCAAGAAAATCTGTCTTGGGCACTTGAACCGCCCTATTAGAAGAATAATTGAGAACAAATAAGACACCTATGTCTGGAAATGCCATGGCAAAAGCCATGATTTTTGTATGCTTCCTTTAAAAAGTAAGGCAATTTGACTGATGCAACAGCTTCCTTCCTTCCTTCCTTCCTTCCTTCCTTCCTTCCTTCCTTCCTTCCTTCCTTCCCTCCTTCCCTCCCTCCCTCCCTCCCTCCCTCCCTTCCTTCTTCCTTCCTTATCTTTCAACAAATCTTTTCAAGTGTGAACCTGGCACTGGTAGTAAGGTTTTAAGAAGAGGCTCTCACCTGACTCCAGGAAATGTGTCCTGGTGGGAGCACCAGGGGGTGGGCTCCAGACAAGGATCTGTGATACTGGCACTCAGAGAAACTGGGCTGGGTGAGAACTTCTGCAGAATGTAATGGAATTGGAGGGTAAGATGGCAGCTGAGGGAGCCCTAGGCACACCAGGCTCAATGGTAAAAAGCCAGGAGGGGTATGTATGGGGTTGGATGAACACAGGGGCAGTAAAGGATGAATTTGTCTAGGTGGTGTCTGGGGGGCTCACCAGATGTCTTCTGTCTGCCTTGGGCAGAGCCCCAGAGTGTCTCCTCCATGCACACCCTCTCCAGTGCCCGTGGTGTCCTGCATCTAATTTTTGCCTTCTTTCTCCTCATGCTAGAGGTGCTCTTTGACCCTTGCCGGACGTGGTGCCCAGCATCCACCTGCCAGGCTGTGTGCCAACTCCAGGATATAGGGCTACAGACCCCCCAGCTTGTGCAGTGCAAAGCCTGCGACATGGAATTCTGCTCCGCTTGCAAAGCCCGCTGGCACCCTGGCCAAGGCTGCCCAGAGACCATGCCAATCAACTTCCTTCCCGGGGAGACCAGGTACTACTCTGTAGGAACTATGGTGCAAGGAGTGGGCTGAAAGAGTGGGGCTGGCAGAAGAGGTGGGTTGCCTTTCTCAAACTGCCATCCGGGAACATGTGGCTATAAATGCATCGGCCTTGGAACACACTCCACTTCCCAAGCCTCTTTCAGACCTGTGGTTTACTTGTGAGGACATTTGACAGGCACAACACAAGACCCTGGAAATGTACAGATGTGTAAGAACCATTCTCTTCTCCCTGAATGAAATGATAGAAGCACATTGGGCTACACACCCAGATTAACTCCTTTGGTACCTACAATTCTTTTTTTTTTTTTTTTTTCCCACACTGACCCTGTATTGGGGCTGATCTGAAATGAGAGTGTAGTAGTAAGAACACCAGGCATAGTGGGTGCTGATTGCAAGCAAGATCACTTAGTAGGTCTACAGGGACCTGAAGCCAAGAGCCTGTCTCTCTAAATTTCTGAATAATCTATTAGAATATGGCAAAACACTATTGTATTTCTTTCTCTTTACTCCTCCCAGTCAGATAACTTAGCTGTTTGCCCAGGTAGACTTTGTAGATGAATTTAATAGAGTGAGTCGTAAGAAAATGGCTATATTGGGGGCATTCCCCCCCCCAACAAAATGGCTACTCTCTTGTAGTTCAACCAGGCAAACTGGCTGTGTGTCTGATGAAGACACTATCTTGACTGCCCATTGCTACCCAAAGAGGTCCTTCCCACCTGGTCCCTGGTTTTCCCATACTCAGGAAAGTACCCCAGCTCTATGCCAGCCACAAATCCCAGCTCATCATTCTATCACTTTGTACATGGTCCCTCGGTAACAGATCGCTCTTCTACCATGTTCCTTTTCCTGAGCTTCTTTGCTACCCTTTGCACGGGGTGCCCATCTAGTCTTTCACCTCTGTCCCCATGGTGGTGTTGGTGACTGCATCCTTTCCTTTCCTACTGTCAGGTGGGACTCGTTGACTACCATCCAGGACTTACTGTATTGTAGCTCACATGTTCCCATGGCTGAAGCTTCTGCTGCCAAGGGCTATGCATGCTTGACATTTGACCTGGTAGACATCAGGCATTTGATACTAGCAAAGATCACTGAATTTCTATGTAGGGTTATAGAAGCTTCCAGACTCTTCACAGCAAGAAACATACCTGCTGTGCTGCTTGATTAAAAGTGATTGGCAGAGACTGATTTCCAGGGAGGGGAGAGCTAGAAGCAGGTGAAGAGTCTAACCGGGGAAGTTGTGCAGTTTGTTGTCTCTAAGAGCAATCCCTAGTGAGTGAGGGAGTCTTACCTCTTAGCAGGATGAAGAGAGTGGAGGACCCTTCCTAGTGGGATGAAGGAGGTTACCCTCCAGTCCATGTATTTTTCTTACCATCAAGGGGTGGGGAGGAACTCAGTCAGTACACTGCCTGCCTCCAATGCAAGAAGCTCCACATTCAATCCTCACCACTGCATAAACCAAACATGGTGGCACATGCTTGTAATTCTAACATTCAGAAGACAGTTGATACTGAGTGACTTCCTGGATTACTCTCCATTTTATATATTTAGTCAGGTTCTCTCACTTGAACTCAGAGCTTATCAATCAGCTAGACTAGCTACCCAGCTTGCCTTGGGGATAGCCTGTCCTTACCTGCTTATAGTATTAACATTGTAGATAGATACTACATCAACCCAGCTTCTATATGGATTCTGGGGGTCCAAACTTGAATCCTTGTGCTTCATGGCAAATACTCATTCCACTGCATGGCAAACTCTCTTCCCCCTAAGCACTCCTCACAGCCTTTTCCAGAATCTCTTAACCTATCATCTTCCATTAAGTGGACAAAACAGCCCCATTCATTCAGGACCACATGCCTTACTACACTTGGGAAACTAGTGGACACGATCACGAGGAATGTTCACTGCCAATCATCAGGAAATTCAGGCTAAAGGATTCGACATTTAACTCTTGTATATATTGTATCCCACATTCTCTTGTGACTAGGCATTTAAATATAGGCACCTGTGGTGAGCATTCTTATTCAAACTACCATGGCTACTTTGCACAAGAAAGGTACTTTATTCGGCTCACGCCAAAGACTGAGGCTAGTTGAGGTGTCCGATAGCTGGTTTGTGGAGAAGCTAGCATCTGCCGCCAGACTTAAGGGTGATGACCACTGCATATCCGTCCCAAGCCCCCAGGAAAACAGTAGTGTCCGGCAAGCCAGGTAAATCTTCTGAAGCATGTGTGCATCTTCATGTGTTTGTTTATGGCTTTTTTTTTTTTTTCTGACAAGACCAAAGTACATAAAGTTTATTATCCACTCTTTAGAAAATGCACACATTTGTGAAACCCCAGCACCATCCCTTGGGTTCCCCATTATAAGCTTTGAGCTATAGATTAGTTTTTCTATAGAAATCTAAGATTAGTCACATGCTGATATAGCTTTTTTTGTTTTGTTTTGTCTTACCTTAGCCTAGCAGATTGGCTGTCTCTTGGCTATTTGTTTTCTGGAATTTTTGTTTCTTTGGGTTTGTGTTTCTCAGAGGGTCTGAGGTCCCTCTGAGAAGTGCTTCCGGAGCAGCCCCACCGCTGGGTTTCCCCTGACCCCAACTGCGTGACCCTTATAGTATGTCTCCCGCAGCTCCGCTTTCAAGATGGAAGAGGGCGACGCACCCATCAAGCGCTGCCCCAAGTGCAGGGTGTACATCGAGCGGGATGAGGGATGCGCACAGATGATGTGTAAGAGCTGCAAGCACGCCTTCTGCTGGTACTGCCTGGAATCTCTGGACGTGAGTGCCCCGCAGCCTCACAGGGCGCTGTGGGAGAGGTGGGAGGTGGACCCATCCTTGCCCAGGGAAGCTGGAGGCCTTGCCAGTGACAGAGAAGTAGCACTAGGGGAGGAGTCTGCTGTGTTTGTGGCAATTTTGGTGTCCTGCGGTGATGCTTGTTCACTAGTGCTGGGTATGGAAGCTTGGGTCAGGCTGGGGGTTCGGCTTTATCTTGAAGAGTGTTGGGGTCTCTCTCTGCAAACACCAGGAAAACAAACTGTGTGAGGCAAGAAGGGAGCCTGGTTCAACATGACTCAGTAGCCAGTGCTGGTTCAAACTTCTTGAGTCTGGTGATGGGCAGTTTACTTTAGGTGTATTTAAGTACAACATAATTTGGACAATTGTTTCCTGATGTAACACAATCCTGTGTACACAAGGAGACACTATCACATTGAAACCATTCTGAAAATAAATCTCACTTCTTTTATGAAGATGGCTTCCAGAGATAGGCTACATGTGTTATCTTAGGGCCTAGGGGAGGATTTGATGTGGTTTTGGTGATACAGGTAGCACCGAGTTCATCTGGACTATTAGCTATCTCTGGTCCTGGTTGTGAGAGCTTGGGGGAGTCCATGGCAATACATAGGTCACCCAGACTATTGACCACTTCCGTTTCCCAGCCTTCTGGGTGGAAAACAGGTTATACATCTATTTCTTTGGATAGACAACCCTGCTCGTGTATCATGCCAATGCTTCCTTAGTGCTTTTCTGTGAGCACAGGACCTTTGTGCTGCCAACAAAAGAAGAGGTGCTGATTATCTCAGGGTCTGGCTCTTTAGGACCAATCCTAATGAGCCTGGCTGTTGTGATACGGCACTACAGCCTGGGTGACATAAACAATAGGCATCCATTTTTCACAGTTCCTGTGCTAGAAAGCTGGAATATGGCTGCTGGCAGATGGGGTCCTGATGAGGGCTCCTTTCCTGGTCCTTTCATAATTGTCTTCTTCCTCGACATGCTGAGATGAGCAAGCTCTGGTCTTTCCAAAGACGCTAATCATGTTGGAGACTCCATCCTCATGACCTCATCTAAACCTAACCACCCCAAGAGGCCCACCTCCTGACACCACCATAGTGGGACGTGGAACTTCATTGAATTCCAGAATTTGAGTTGTAGGAAGCACATTTAGTTAGTAGGACAATGGGGAAAATGACACAGCAAAGCATGCTGGGCATCAGGAAAATTTTATGCTTTATCTACACTGAGGGGAAATCTATTTCCTTTGCCGTCGGCCAAAATAGAAGTTTCTAGCCTAACATAGCAGCCTTCTCTCATGTGTTGTCTGTCAAGCCCCTTATGCTGTTCCTGCTGTAAGGGTTCCTTATGGCTTCAAGGCCCCTCTCCCATCTACACACTGTCTGTGCAGAAAAGTGAGGTCCAGGCTTCAGAAAAATGTACTGACAATGTAAAACAGAGGTTTTATTGTGACCCACTATAGCAGGGTCATGGTCACACCAGAGATTTGGTTTCTCTGGAATCATCTAGCCTGGTGAAAGCAAAAAATATCTGCTTCCCATTCTCTTTCCTCAGCTATATTGCCAACTGGGTAGTGTTCACGTTTCTTCTCTGTTGCTATGATAAAAATGCTTTGATCAAAGGCAATTTAGGAAAGGTTTTCTTTTGTTTACTTTTTTTTTTGTAAGTTTTACAGTGACATCAGGGCAGGTACTTGAAGAATCAATGGAAAACTGCTACTTGCTGCCTCACCCCCATCCTTGTTTGCTGATACAATCTAGGGAGTGGTGCTGCCCACAGTGGGCTTCACCCTCCCACATCACCTAACTAGGCAATGCCCCACAGACAAGCCCATAGACCACTTGGATCTGGGCAAATCCCTCAATTAGAACTCTTTCTTCAGGTGACACTAGGTTGTATCAGACCTTATGAAAGTCCTCGGGTGCATAAGAGAAGCCGCCTTCAATATGTGTGTATCATGGCCAGTAGGCCTGTTCTTGCACCTGGGCAGTTACCCTCTGGTGGATGAAAGGTAACTGTACATAGCATCAGTGTGGAGGAAACATCACTTAGGCATTCCAAGAGGACAGAATTTGCAGCAGGTAGACGTGGCCAGATGCAGTTGTGGGAACGAAGGTCATGGTCTTCAGAGTCCAGCCTCTCTGTGATAGGTCATCTTGACTCTCAGCTTGATGGGATTTGTGCTTTCCATGGAAATGTGCTTCTGGGCATGTTTGTGAAGAAGTTTCTAGGTGGGGTTAATTGAGGTTAAATGTGTGCTAGAGTGCTGGATGAACAAAATGGAGGAAGCTAACTGACTGTGGCTGCCGTGTGACCCGATGCCTCAAGCTCCTGTAGGAAGCCATGCTTCCCCACCATGATTTACTGTACACCTCCAAACTGTGGAGCCAAAATGATCCCCTCCTTAAGTCATGCCATAATAACAAAGAAAGTAGCCAACACAATGCCAGTTGGAAGTCCTGTACCATGCATGCTACAAGGGCACATCCCACAGAGAGGGCAATTTTTAATGGGTGTGGAGTCCACTACACAGAGCAGCATGGGACCAGAGGCTAGAGGATGGAGGTGGCTGGGGACGTGGAAGTTGAGCAAGAGTTTACTCACCTGCCACAGAGAACAGGAGATGTTGAATCCTGTGGTTACAAAAAAAAAAATGGGGGCGGGCATAGAGGAACTCTGACATGGCCAGAAATTCTGATGGGAGAAGCCGAAGCCAGAATGGAGCCATGACTTTCTCTGTGTGGGGTTGAAGGCTTTGACCTCCAGCAGGGCAAAGCAGCCATGCAAGGACAGATTGGATCAGAACCACTTGGGGAGTCATAAGCTTTCCCTTTGCCTGTGGGCCAGTATTATTACCAGAATTGTTAGGATCAAAGCCTGGACTTGAGTAGCTCTCATAGCTAGGCTTAGCTACCCAGCCTCATTCCCCCAGGTGAAGAAGCAGAGAGGTTTATTCATTATGGCTGCATTGGGAAGAGGAGCAGATGAAGGAGTCCAGTGACCCCACCCTCACCCCATGGACTTCATCTTCCAGGTACTAACATGAGGTTCAGCTTTAAACAGAGGGCAAGAGATAAAACTTAGCAGCCCTGGCCAAGCTGTGGCCCCACCCATCATTGGCCATCATTGCCTCAGCTCTAGTCTCTGCAAGGTAGCCTGGCAAATTGTCAGAAAGTTGTTTAACTCTTCCTGACAGAGGTAACCCTCCTCCCCCACTGCCCCATAACAGGCTGCAGCCTATTTCTTCTCTCATAACGAGACTTCTGGGAAAATTCCAAGTCCTTGGAGTTCATTATTTTTCAGTCGTCTTATAGCCAAAGGGCAGGGGTGGCTCTATCTTCTCTGTTTAGAATATTTCTGCCTCTGCCATGGCTGCCACTGTATCTGCGGTGTGGCCTGGCCTGGAAGTCTTCCTTTGCCACACGCTGTGTAGGAGGTTCAGATGACCAGTAAACACTTTCAAGCGTGGAGATCAGTAAAGACTTTAAGATAGCTGATGCCCTGTGGCTTGGTATGTGCTTCTTCTAAAGGACATCAAAGCTTTTTAGAGAGCCCTCAGAATAAGACGCTGTGATAGGCAGGTTGTGAAAATGAGACAAGTGCACTTAAGCTATTCTCTGGGGTAATGTACATTAACGTCAGTGTGAAGGGAATGGCAATTAAGACTCCAAGAGGAGAGCTCTCAGCAGCCAGAAGTGGCCAGATGGAATTTCAACAAAGACACCTGGAGCTGGAGGAGGCTGTGAGCTCACCTGCCTAGGGAAGGTGAGACAGCTGCTGAGCTGCCTCTAGTGGTCATTACCTGGAACTGCATTGTCAAAGCCAGGGTTTACTGCCACGCTGCCCTTAAATTCAGACGGTGGGATGCTTGACTTATGTCAGAAAACAGGGTTGTTTCCCTTTCAGCATGGGACTAGGTTCTAGCTCTGTTGTGTTGATCTGAGGGGCCAGAAGTTGATGGGTGGTATCCCGGGTGATTTCTCTGGTTTTCTTGTCCTTTCAGCTGTATTAGGCCCCATGATTATTCTTTAAAGGAAGCTTCCCATCGGTGGTGTTGGTTAAATGAGCGAAGGGGATTGGCCTGCTGGGTGCAGTTTCCTACCTGTCTCCTGTGTTGGTGATGCACAGGCAAGGCCTCCGTGTGTGGAAGTGGGGAGCACACCCATCTCTGACTGATACTTAGTGGTGCCGACACAGGCTGATGTGCACTGAGTGGTAGGCGTCCTCAGGGGGACCAACATAATGTGCCTTCATCCCAGGAGCCTGGCAGTCTGGAGGTGGCTGTCCTGAGAACGTGAGGTGGGGCCTCCTGGAGGGAGCCATGGACCAGCCCGAGAGCTCTTGGTACAGCAGGGTACACCCCTGCCTACTCTAGACAGGTGGAGACCTTGTGGGTAGAGGGCGGCTACTGGACTGGGTCTTGCGTAAAGAGAAACGCTGCAGTGTTCTGAGCTGAGGGGGAAATAGCCTGGTGAGAAGCTGGTCTTGTGGGATTTGACACAGGCAGGCCCAGGGGAACTCCGGAGAGCCGGAACCCTATCTTGCTCTTCAGTCGCCTGTGTTGGTACAGTATCCAGGGGTGGCTTCTACACCCAGGAGACCCTCCTCTGGCTCAGTACTGAAATCTGGCCCAAGACTCCCTCTGTTGAAGGAGGCTAGCAGTTCCCTCTGGATGCTGTCTGGAGAGGAGTGGTGGCCAGAGCGACAGCCTGCAGGCTTGCAGCACACGCGTCCCCCTGCTGTCACTCTTGCCTGTGCCCACAGACTGTGTGCCTGGAAAGGTGAAACAGACTGGGCTGTTCAAAAGACTGAGAGCCTGACCCCGACTCTCACTGTGGACTCTTCTCTACCCTTCCCAGGACGACTTCCTTCTGATCCATTATGACAAGGGGCCTTGCCGCAACAAGTTGGGTCATTCCCGAGCATCGGTCATCTGGCATCGGACACAGGTGAGAGGCTGCCCACCTGGAACTCTGATCTCAAAGAAAGTGTGTGTGTGTGTGTGTGTGTGTGTGTGTGTGTGTGTGTGTGTGTGTTCCAGAAGACTTTTGGGTGGAAAGTGATGCTGATGGCTCTGGCCCAGTGTTCGAAACTCCTTGTGCTTGATGAGGAGCTGTCTAGAGCTGTCCTGAGGGAGGCCAGCAAGTTGCTAATGGAAAGGGTGACGGGGAGGTAATGAGACGTTTTTGCTGCCTGTGGAGCCTGTAAACGGCTCTTATGGCAGCTGATTCAGCACAGTTGAATTCTACGTTGAGTGGCATTTAACACCCATGTGCCAGGCCCCTTTGAGAGTTGGAGTCACATATGTAATAAGTTCTTCCGTGGAGCCTGCCTTCTGTTAGGGTGAAAGGGATACAGATGATGGCCCAGCAAACTCAACCACAGCATAAACCAGCTCTGGAGTTCGGGGTGGGTGGGTCTTAGGTGCATGGGTGGTAAGGCTCCTTATGTCTTAGTGCTGCTTCTGAGTGTCAAGGAGCACACCTGTGTGTAAGCCGGGCAGGGGAGAGAGGACAGGGGCAGGTGAGGTGCTAGGTTCATGGAAGGACAGACCCATGTGGACAGTGGGACAGGGAGTATGGGGTGAGTCTGAAGTTTCATGGCAAGGCCATGTCTCAGAAGGCTTTGTAAGACCTAGCAGACACAGCTTGTATTCATGCACAAGTCGGTAACCGTGAAGGAGTTGGGACAGTGGAGTCCGCCATGTTCCCTAATTGATGTGGAAGGGGCTTCTTTCATAGACTTTGCCACGAGTCCTCTGAGGACACTGTGCCAGTCCACCCAAAGACAGTAGTCCACTCTCAGGACAGTAGCCCAGAGCTGGGAGCAGGTCTAAGTGTAACTGCAATTCCTTGGCACTCCTAGCTACAGGTGGATGAGGATGGAAGCCCGTGAGTGTGAGCGTCTGCAGCAGGGATGAGGGGACTGCCTGCAGTGTGACATAGTAGCAGGCAGTGCTCCCAGCTGCTGATCAGGCCTGATGGCCCCTACTTATTCGCTCACAGTAGTAGGGGTCGTTGCTTTGGGGTTCTGTGTTTTTCAGGTATAATCTTCTATATTCATCTGTGTGGGAGAATGTCACTCACAATTTGTAGGGCTGACCTCATTTGCTAGCTTCTATAGTGTATACAGCCTTTCAGAGACACATAGGCTATTGGTAAAGGAGCACAGGACATCCAAGATTACACTTGGATTGAGATAGGTCAAAAGCAATAAGCAAGCCAGTGCTTACAGATAGGGAAGGTTGTCAGCAATGATCTGAGTATGTGGAATAGCAGAAGTGAAGGGCATACATGTGGCCCGCACATGAGGGAGACTGTCTATGGAAGGTCTTCTCCCCTCCCCTGTGCATTTGCAAGCAAGTCTAGGCCCTGTGTTAGGGTCCTGCAGCTTTCAATATTGTCCAAACACACCACACCACAGCATGGCCGTGACCCCCAAAGACCCCTTCATTCTTGTGGTCTGTCTGCCTTACTGGCTTGTCTAGAGAGGCCCTGTTCCCCTGCCGGCCTCCTGGTTCTGGATCCAGGTGCACCTCCCCCATTTCCTCTTTGGACAGGCTTCCTGCCTTAACTCTGCTCGCCACACACTTGTTAATAATAAACAGTGACAGAGGGTTTGTTGTTGTTGTTTGTTTGTTTTTGTTTTGTTTTAACTGTCATCAATATCCTCATGACATTTTTATTGAGTGTTTATAGCACACCCAGTATTTTAAGAGGCAAATTTAGGAGCCTAGTGTAGACTAAGCAGGGGTCTGGGGCCTCATCGTTTCTTCTTGTGTTTGTGAACTAGACATAAACCTCCTGTGCTGTCATGAGCCTGCATAGGCTTGATGTTCATCATTCCCACATCTCCGCTTCATGCCCATGCCCAGCTCTGTGATGTCACTCGTTCTCCCTGCAACCCATTCAAGCCTTACATCTGCTCTGAGTCTGTGACACTGCCTCCCGCCTCCAAGGAAGAGGGCGTGCCCCATCACACCTGTTGCTCTCCCATCTGACTCTCCTTCTGGACTCTGCATCTGTCTTGCATCTTGCGATACATTGGCCTGTCCTCTTTGTAAGGGATTGTCCTCCTTGTAACCTCAAAGCCCTGGTTCTGTCCCTGAAGCAGAGAGGCGCTTCAGAAATGGTTGTCAGATGAAGTGAGGCTTCGGCTAGGACTGTGGCGTTGCTTCTTCAGGGTTCCCATCCTTCTCGCTTTGGCTGCCTCCTGGATATGTAGCAGGTTTGACATAGGGTAGTCCTGAGCCTTGTTCTGTCTCTGCAGGGTCTGTTCTTGGTGAAGTGACGGAGGTGGAAACAGTGAGCTTGTGGGTTCCCACCCAGAGGACTGAACACCTGGGTGTGGAGCGGCTGTGATAGGGGAAGCAGAGCACAGTAACAGCTGTGGTGTGAGGTGTGACACACACCCAGTGGCTGGCGAGGACACCTGTGCTCTCCAGAGGCCCACACACTATGAGGTCCACCTGCTGGAAATGGGCCCATCAGAGACAGTTTCTACTTCCTCTGACCATTTTTTTTACTGATTCTTAAATCTTTCCTGTTACTGGTCCTTCTAGCTTGCTCCTGCATTGCTGGCCATACTGTCCCACAGGCGATGCTTTGAACAAACCCCAGCAACCCTGAAAATTCTAATTTAGCCCATTCACAGGAGGGAATGCAGGAGGTCACTCCTGTTGCCAGTGTGAGAAGGTGAAGCAAGGACATAACTGTCGGTCCACAGTGTGAACCAAGGGGGAGGGAGAAGGTGTAGGGGTATTGCTATATAAGATCATGTGTTCTGAAGGCTGCAGGTTGCAAGAAAACACCTTAAAGGAGGAGAAAGGATGAGCAGAGGTGATGATAGGTCAGCATCATGATGCAGTTGGCTTGCTCCTGACGGTAGCTGGGATCAGACGAGCTGGGAAGGGAGAGAGTAGGTGTTAGGGTGTAGGCTAAGGCTGACAGTGGGAACCCACAGAAGGATTTAGTGCCCCAGAACAAAATGCTTTGAAGGTCTAACTTAGATATCCCCCATATTACATTCAGCACCATCCCCACCCCTACAAAGCAGGAAGTGCCAGGCCGGAAGCCCCACAGCAGCCTGATGTCCTGTTCTCTTTCCCACTGATATCCCTTCCATGCATTTTGAAAATCTGCTCCAGTCTTGTCTCTTGTACCCAGAATCTCTAGAGCACTCAGTACATAGCACAGCTTAATCTGGGGCTTTGGGCTTTGAATTGACACCCATAGGTAGGCACATGGAACAAGCTGACAGGCACCCGAGTGCTGCCGTCTTCATGTACATCAGCTAAAGTTCTGATATCAAGTCACCAACCCTGCAAACAGGTGAGGTGTGCTTTCCCTTGTCATAGACCGGACCACTGCTGAGAACTTCTTGAGAGTTGGGATTCCAGAAATGCTTCTGTCTCCAGCTCAGGGTCTTGCTCAACTCAGACCTCCATGGCATTGATGGCAGACCTCAGGTCCAGAGCATGCTGAGACCAAAGTGTTCTTTGGACAAAGTATTCTTCTTTGTTATAAAGTGTAGTAACATTGTTCTAGCAGATTTGGGGACCTTTGTTCCTTAGAGACATTGCACCTAGCTTCTTAGCAGCTTCCTAAGCAAGCTAAATGCATTTTACTCAACCCCTTTGTCAAATGCTCTATTCCAACACAACTGCATACTAGGAATGAAAATATGCCCTTATCTTGTCAAGGTTTTGTACAGCTTACCTTGTCCTGAGCTTGTGAGCATGCACACATACCTATTCAGGGTGACACAGTCTCTGGGGAGATAAACAGGAATGAAAAACACGCGGTGGTGTCTACGCAGGGCTGTGGTCCTAGCTGTGCACAGAAAGACATCTATGTGCTATTAGCTGAGTCTCAGTTAATGTCAGCCGTGCCCAACATCCAACTTCTTGTGAACATTTAGCATAAACCCCACTGGGGAGTGTCTGCCCGCTTGGCTCCATCGCCATCTCAGGGAATGGACAGAAGAGCTAAAGCACAGAAGAGCTGCACATTCCATTTTTTTTCTTCTTACTAGAACAAAGCTTATCTTCAGAACATGGGCATCTTCTGTGAGAGTCTTATCCAAGCTCCCTTCTCCTGTGTGCAACCAAAACGAACATTTTTTTTTTTTTAAATTCTGGTCTAATCCAGCCAGGAGGGAGAGCTCATTTCAAGCCATTAGGCCGGCTAGTTTTTGACTATGCATTTCTTTGTGTGTGCGAGGATATGCATGAGGTCTGTCCCACCCTCCACCCCGAGGCTGAAGGACTGGGGTTCCTGCAGAGCTGCTTGACAGACACTAGGATGGCCATCTGAGGCTGGATTGATATTAGGACCTTTGGAAAAGCATATTGGTCCCTGGATTTTGCATCTGTAAAGTGAGCACAATTTTTAAAAATGAAAACATTGGGCTGGATTTTAATCCAAGGACTCGGTGAGATTGCATCATCGTAAGCCTAGTTTTCTTCTGTAATGAGTGAAGTTTAAAATGCTTTGTTCCCCTTTCCATATCTTTGATTCAGACTTGGTCTTTTCTGCGATCCCACCACCTGTATTTTTTTTTTTTTTAAATCAAATGAGCATCTCTGGCTGAGGCTTAACATCAGCACAGCCTCATTTATCAGTTTGGTATGACATATTTTATCAAATTTGATTTAATTTGTAGATGTGGGTGTGTTCATGTGTGGTGGTTGTAGGTACTTGAGTGTGATTTGTTCCCAAGAAGAATTCCACTGAATTCTTTCCTTTACACATGTTTGAGTCTTCACCAATGGGCCTTAGAAGATCCTTTATTATCCAAAATTGAGAAGTAACCTTGGGGAAGTCATGTACTTACCATCTTGAGCACTAGGTGGCAGCCTAACTCCATATTCAGCTTTTATTAGCAAGCATGTGGCTGATCTAGGTAAGGCTAGGGAAAAGAGGACTTGTTGATTTGAAACAGCCTCAGTGCGTGGTGTAGCTGGCAGCAGGTCTGCTTTTGGGCCTTATACCTAGAGGGGGGAAAACGAGTTTATAAAAAATCAAAATACAAAACAGTCCATGTTGGGTTTTAAATTACAGAAAGGCAAGGCTAGCTCAGTGTAATGTCAGATGCCCCATGGCCCTGCCATTCTAGATCCTCGATTTGAAGGGTCTTGTTCTTGCCCTCTTATCCATTAACCATCTGAGAATCTTTGTCAGCTGTTTCCCGTCCTCTAGCAAAGGTAGCCCTGTTTCTTGGGTGAACCTTACCTGGAATTGGACCCACTTCTTTTGATGAAAACTTGGTCTCTGCATTAGACAGTGTTCTCCTGGAGTGTCCAGATCTCAGGCCCTGTTATTTTTGTAGTAGCTAGCCATTGTCTGGCCAATAATGGTTGCTTAGGGAGAAATCACTAATTCATTGAATACATACAAGAATGGATTGGGAGAAGAAAATAAAAGAAAGGAGGGAGAAAAGGGGAATACAAGCTAATAAACCAATGCTGGTTGGATAGATGGGAGGAGGCATGGGTACATGGAGGATTGTTAAAGAGATGCATGAGTGGGTAGATGGTGGATGGATACATGCACGGCTCGGCTGGTTGGATCGGTGAATGGGTGCATGAATGCAAAGAGGATGGCTAGTTGATGTATACATGGGATGGATAGTTACGTGGGTAGACAAACTGTATGTTGGCACGGTAGAAAGGATGTATAGATGGATGGTGGTTGGTGGTGGTGGGTGTGGTTTAAACTTCAGCTATACTATAGAACCTGCAGACCATCCCTCCTCACTTCTCTCCTTTGTTTCCCTTTTAGGTGGTGGGAATTTTTGCTGGATTTGGGCTCCTGCTCTTAGTGGCCTCCCCTTTCCTGCTCCTAGCCACACCCTTTGTACTTTGCTGCAAATGTAAGTGCAGTAAAGGTGACGATGACCCACTGCCCACCTAGAGGACGGAGTGATGCTGGAACAGACCCCTGCCTCGGGACGTGTGGCCTCCCATCCCCCACCAACCCCCTCACTAAACCTGTTTCTTGCCTTATGTGCCCCATTGAGCTTCAGCGTCTGGCTTGCTGCAGAGATTTCAGGGATGACATCAGCAAGTGGGCAGAGGCCCCAGGGGGTCTCCTGGCTGTGGGGGAGGCAAGGGTGGTACAGGTGGGTGGGACGCACCCCACAGAGCCATCCTGTGTCTGCAGACCTGGCTGGAAGTGGCATTAGCTGCACATCAAGGCAGTTTTCTCTCCATGGCCGTAGACTGGAAATGTCCAGTGGGAGTTTACAGATCCACTTGGACACAGGGACACCTTGGCTTCGAGATGGCACCATGTTGTCAGTAGAAGTCTACAAGGATTAGGACTCTCTTCAGCCAGCACCTGATTATCGGACTTGAGAAAAAAACGCCCTGTTTGTGACAACTGTTTTTATTCTGAAAGGCATTTAGTAAAATCCTTCTTAGAAGGCTTTTCCCCCCTGTCAACTGAGTAGTGAAAATCAACAAGGTGCGTATAAACCATCCTATGCCTTTTTTTGAAATGTGTATTTTATGAAGTTATAGATAAATGACTTTTCTGGCCTGACCATTTTTTTTCAGGAGCTATAGAAAGCCTTATGCACACTTTGTGGGTTTTTTTTTTTTTTTCAACCTTCTGTAATCACTTTTTGAATGCTGTAAGCTGTGTACTGTTATCCACATGGGCCCCTGTTTTTGCATTTCTTTGAAGATACTGACACATTTAATTGATCATCTCTGGCTTTAGACCACTGCCCCCTTTCCCTTACCCCTGTTACCCAGTTCAGCTCACAGGACCCATCCCTCTTTCTCCCAGGTGGCAGCAAATGCCTTTGAATATCTTTAAACCAGATGCTTTCCTCTGAACTAGTTTTACTCCGAGTGACTCTGTCTGGACTTCTTGCCCCGGTTTGTAGGTGGGCAGCAAGGAGACAGTGTCATCTGTCCCTCTTAACCCTCGGAGGTTTGGTAGGAGCTTTCTGAAGTCGTTGCATTTTTCAAATGCTTTAAGTAATTTGAAAAATCCTGTGACTCACATGGTCTCAACCCTGTAGTTAACTAGTTAACCAGTTTGTTCTTGCTAGGAAAAGAAAACGAGGGAATGAATAGAAGGAAGGAAGGAAGGAAGGAAGGAAGGAAGGAAGGAAGGAAGGAA